TAAAGAAGGTTAAACCACCAGAGAGCACAGAAATGGAATACAGTGGACCCCAAGGGCACATTTGGACGATCTGGATTTTGCGGATGACTTGGCGCTTCTGTCGCACACCCAGGAACAGATGCAAGCAGAGACTTCAGTATTAAACAGCTTATCAGAGTCTGTTGGATTGAGGATACACCCAGGAAAGTCAAAGGTCCTAAGGACAGATGTACAATGAAAGGAGCTGGTAACAATAGAAGGAAATGCACTAGAAGACGTTGAATCCTTCTGCTATCTTCGGAGTATAATTGATATAAAAGGAGGAACAGGTGTTGAAATAAAGTCCCGCATTGGAAAAGCACAGGATGCTTTCATATCTTTGAATAGGATTTGGAAGACCAAACATATCTCACTTCGAACAAAGCTGAGGATTTTCAATTCAAATGTTAAATCAAAATCTGTCCTGTTGTAGCGATGTGAGACATGGAATGCATCAGACTTGCATAAAGAGGATCCAGCTTTTCATGAACAAGTGTCTAAGAAAGTTACTGAAGATCAGATGGACAGACAGGGTCACCAATGAGGAAGTGTCAAGGAAAACAAGACAGATCCCAGTCAGAGATGGGGTAGGAAGAAGACGGTGGCAATGGATAGGATATACAGTCCATGCCAGCTTTAAGCACGTTTCGGACTCAAGCACGCTAAACGGCTCTTACCGAATTTTTGCTATATAAATTACACGCCTTTAAGCACTGTAACTTCGGCTTCAGGCACGCTTCATTTACAAGACAGTCAATACTTTCACGATGACCCATCAAAGTTTAAACACAGTCTACACCTCAGCAGTGAGTGTGTTAAGAGAAACAAAAACAGCGCAAGTGATGGACACACACATGCACAGAGAGGAAGGCAGAGAGATGCACACAGCCGCGCGCGTGGACATACGATCTAGCCTAGGGCAAAGCTCCACTCAGACAAAAAAAAAATACAAAGAAGGTCGGGGAGATGAGAAAAGGAGGCATGCTGTGATTTCACCTTACTGCCCCTCACTATCCGATAATCCTGATTTGGTATCTCTCGCGAGGTGGGATCAAAGACCGTGTTTGGGGGGGGTGAAGGCGGTGGTATGAATGTGGCACAGCGGGCTGTGGTACGCACAGGCAGTGTGTAGGCCTCGTGTGCTGTATCGTGACTGGCCGTCTAAATTAAGTTTTCATTTCCCATTCGACCATAAAACAAAACAAACAAACAAACAAATGAAAACTACCATGGCGGGTAAAAATAACAGTGCACACTTTTGCAGGACCACTATAGGCTTATTTACTAAAGGAAATAGCACAGGAAATTTTCTACATGAAAATCTCTGGATTATATCTACTTCGCACTAAAGAACGCTTCGGCATTAAGCACGCTTCAGCTTTCTCCCGACGACCGTGCTTAAAGCCGGCGTGGACTGTACTCTCAGGAAGTCAGGCAGCTGCATAACTAAGAAAGCGTTGGATTTGAATCCACAGGGTGAAAGATCAAGGGGAAGAAAATATGTACATAAAAGTGGGAAGACATGGAACAACTTCAAGAGACTAGCCCAGGATATATAGGGAAAGGTGGAAAGTGTTTGTCAGTGGCCTATACCCTGGTGCAGGGTGAGAAAGGCAATGATGATGATGATGATGATGATGATGATGATGATGATTAATTTCTCAGGTAAAATGTAAAAAAGGCAAAGATGGATTGAAGTACAGCTTAAACCATAAATCCGCTCCAAAGACTCAAACACCTCAGAGTAATCCAGTATAACATACAAATGACTCTTTTCACTTACAAAAGTTTACAGTCTCTCAAGACACTAGAGCACAAACATCACATGTAAAAAAAAATAAACAACAGTTACAATTTCAAAATTCAGGTAACAGCTGTTGAGCAAAATGCATCTCAACAACATGATGCTTTGGACACAATCTGGTATCATAGAAGACACTTTTTGCATAGATATCTTATATTAAGGGGGGGGGGCCTACACCTCGAGGCTATCTCGCTTATTACTGGACCGAATTTTACCACATTTCACACATATAACAAGCATAGTAAGGAGTCTTGAAATCCGCAATAAAATTTGAGAAAAAAGTTTCATTTCCATGGATACGCCGCCATATTGGATTTTATTGACATGTCTTACGTAATGAATACCGCACTTATCGCTCATGGAAATCGATTGTATTTTTGTATGCGTGTTCACAAACATTAGATCTAAAAATTAGTCTGTTGTTTTTTTCCTAATCGAATTAGAAAATTTTTAATGAATTTTTTCCTGAGGTAGTATTACCTCTTCTCTTCATTCTGTGAAAATTTCATGAAGATTGGATGAAAAATGGTGAAGTTATTCAAAAAAGTATAGAGAAAAGTAGCATTTTGAGAAAACTGCCGATAAAGAAAAATAAAATACTGACTTTATGAGGAAATGGCGGTTACAAACATTCCCGGTATGGGAAAAAATACGATTTTTGGGGGTTCTTATGCCATGAAATAGTTGTAGGAGAGGCTGAGGAAGCTAAAAATGCCTACAACTCAAATTCCATGATTTTGAGCCGAATTTTGATTTTGGGGGTGTAGCCCCCCCCCCCCCCCTTAATATATTTGTACAAATTAAAAAGTTGACTTTAAATTTAAAGCAAAAGATTCATTAAAAATACAGCTCTTAAAAACAACTTGAATACTAATTTTTATTGGAATGTTGAAAATTAAAAGAAGAGATAAGAAGCTTCAAGGTCCTCACAGTATAAATGGACTGACAAACAAGTTTTTATAAATCAGATCCAATAAATACATCCACACACATATAACTGTTTTTTTTTATGGGACATTCTATGGTTCCTGTGAATAACATTTCCCAGTATCTTGTTTTGCAGAGCTACGTGTTCGGTACCCCCAAGCCATCGAAACAACCTTTAATAAAAAGTGCTTGTATGACTATCAGACTTGTTTAGTTGTTATGTTGACTGTTGTTCTTCGTGTGGTTGCTTTTGTTGTCATTATAGTGGTGTCACATGAGACACTTACAGTGTCCTTTGTGAAGAATCATCAAGTCTGTTATGGTGTGGGATTGGAATGGGCAAACTGCTCCTTTGCCTAAGCTTGTACAAACCAGATCAAGTATGAATGACAAAATAGGAACAGAGAGCAAAACTGACAAAATCTATACAGTGTCCCATGTGACTGATGACCACGGACATGCACACCCAAACCCAATAAAATTGTTAAGTTTTCAGTCAACTTGGCCTTTGTTAGTTGATTATACATATAATAAATAATCTCATGCAAGAAAAACATCTATGTGCATGCTCAAATTGTCTTTTGGAAGGAAACTATTGTGTCATCTGCCACACGAGACACCGTCTAGATAGTCAAGCATTTGGTTGTTTTCTCGCCAAAGGGGGAGAAAAACTATCCCAAAACTTGTCAGTTCTGGAGGAGCACACATTTCTCTTGTAAATAGAAGCAATGTTGGTGCTGAAGAAGCCATTCTAAAAAATGGGAACATTTTGTCACCTTTTGACCTGGGCTCATATATATATAAGTGCTCAGAGCTTATTCTCTTATGGGATAGAACACTATATAAAAATAAAAACAATATATCATGACATACAGTTGAACCTGTCCAAGATGACCATCTATTCTTGGGTAGAAAAATAGTAATCTAAGACAAGCAGTCCTCTTGGACAATTTTTCTTATAAAGAAAAATGCTGGTTCGACTGTGCATATACCCTGGATGATGAAATGTTCATCGACCTGTAACATCATTAAAGCTTTTTATCTCTTCAACTACCACAGCTGGAAGATTGGAACAAAAGTACAACATTGAAAAAGAAAGTCTCGTTTTTAAAACTGTATATGATTGTTAGTAAGGACTCGTTCCTACTTTTGCACATAACAAAAGTGTGTGGTGAACATTGGTCTTGTTATTAGTGGGAGTGAGTGTGTCTTGAATAGGTGTCTGTGGGAGAGGGATGGATAGAGAGAGAAAGGGAGAGAAAGAGAGAGAGAGATTCATTTTGATCCGGTTGAAAAACATAATAAACATCTATAACTACAAAGAGGTTTGGCCACCTATAAAATTAATTATCTTCATCACGCAGACTACTAAATGTAGCCCCCCAAAAAAGTGTAATGTAAACAATATAACCTTAATCTTTAGGCTATTTCAATAAAAGATAAAGCAACATTCCAATATCATTACCACCTACAGTTGAGCACAGATAGCTCAGACATTTTGTCACTACCACACGCAATTTTGCATTGGCAGCACAGTTTTTTTAAAACACCCTCACAGCATAGTTTTTTTAAAACACCCTCACTGATGTGTCGAACGGCTAAACTCAAAAAAGCACAATCAGACTTTTCTCACAATTTTCTCGAATTCATATATATCGCACTGTGGGCGTGATGGAAAAAAAACACACCAATCATCATCGAGAATAGCAGGTTACACAAGCCCACCAACCTCCCCCCCTCCCCAAAGACATGATGATACACACACTGCTGGTATTGAAATGACTTATCATCACACGTTACCTGTTGTGTGCGTAAGGCACTAGAACTTCCTTGAATCTAGTCATGTGAGGGTGGGTGGTGGGTGTGATCAATGACAGACAGTATGGTACTGCATAGGGACGTATAGTGTGAGAAATATATTTGTGTTCTTCACGTGTGTGCTTGGCATGCGTATGTGGTTGTCTGAACACGAAGGTATGGATCAGGAAGTGATTATACAGAAGGGTGGGTGGCAAGCTCTGACTGGTTGCATCCTCATGATCATCTGATGTAAGAAAAATGAAAATCTTTTCTTTATATGAGGCTCATCAGCATTACTCTCTTTCTCTTCTTGATTGGACACCAAACAAGGCTTACAAATTTCTATGCTTTTATCAATACATGTTTCACTTTATGATGACAGTAATTTTTCCCCCCACCATTACATCATCACAGTAACTACCCTTGATTTTTTTCAATATATATATCCCTCTTAGTTTTGATTAACACCTGTTACTTGAATTACAAACATGTTAAACACATTTGCCAACCCCCAATTTGTTTTGAAATATCCGTGCTCAACTGTATAGAAGTATCATTTACTAAAGCTCACAACCTAATAAACATTTCAAGCACTTTCAATGATAACCTTACAAGCTAATTGACACAATTTGAATTATTTAGAAGTCAGGCAATCAAAATAGGGAAACTAAGCTCATCAGCGAAGAAACAATAACAAGCACAGTGTACACTGTTCCGCGATCTGAACTGTTCCCTTGTTTTTGCAAACATAATACAGTAACCATCTCCACTTTCGAATCAGCTGGAGACTGAACGCAGAACGTGTGTGACTCATAGCCATAGCAAGCAACACCTGGTGGGGAGAGAAAAGAAGGAGCTTGAGTGAAAAGAAGCACCACACTTGCTTGTTATATATTTTGTCAAAACTGTGTGTTTTGTTTGAGCAGAGAGAAAAAGCAGAATTGTTTCCACTGTCTGTCAGAATTGCATGCTTTGGTTGTTTAAGTAGAGAGAGAGGAAAGAAAAGAGTTTGTTTTGTGTCACCTGTCTATGTGACAGTTTTTTTGCTTGTGTCAATGTATCCGTGTGTTCGTAAGTCAAAGTATTTGTCTGCCTTTGTATCATTTTTAAACATTAATTATTGTTAATGTAAAGTCTTTCGTTCTTTAAATGAAATGACCATTAAAAAACCTAATCTTTTTATTTCATGAAAATGCACTTACTTAACAGTCTGTTTCTAAATATTACATAATCTATAGCTTAACTTTTTTCACTGACATCAGATGAAACAACAAACTGGCAGATTTGTTCCCAGAAGAAAAAAATACTCACCATATTCACCCTTTGTGTTTGCGGCAATGATGGCCCCTGAAAAGTCTGGGTAGAACTTCGTCATTCTGGAAAAGGCCAAGGTCGCTGCTTCCCTGGGTGATGCCCCTTTTTCCATTTCCATAACCGCATGGAAACTGAACAGTAATGGAGCATGGTTAAATCATTTACTGGTACTATTTCTATACCTGTTCAGTAACTGTACAGAAAAATAAGAATGCATAATTCATCATATTTCATAACTACTCTGACAAAAAACAGTGAGTTTTTTCCTAAAGTCTTGCAGCAATACTGATTCCATTTGCAATTTTAAAGAGAATAAGGTGGCATTCTCCTTAAATACAGTCAAGCACGGATATCCAGAATACGTCAGGGTGATAATGTCCGACACATGCATAATTCAAGTAAGCTGCAATAACAAGAAATAGCAATATTGAAGAAGATCAAGAGAAGTAATTATGACCGTATAATAGTCAGAAGATAAACACTGTTATCATGAAAAGTGCCCAATGTTGATTAAAAGATAGAAGGATGGATAGCGAGAGCTCCTTGTCCGGTGTCCAAGTAAGAGTAACAGAAAAAGGAAAAGAATGACACTGATGAGCCTTAGATTTACATCTGGGGGCTCTCGTAGCCTCGAGGTTAAGGTGTCCGCCTCTCATTTAATAGGTCCTTGGTTCGAATCAGGATAGCGACAAAAATTCTTCTCCTCTAAAATTTTTTTCCTTTCACATAATTTCCTGCTCTCGAACAATTCTGTCGTCTCATTTCGTCTCCACTTTCTCCCCCCCCCCCCAACCTCCTTTGCCCCCTCCTCCGGGCTCTTGACTCTTTCTGCAGCCTTTCTACTGCTACTCCTTGGGTCCTTCTTACTGCTGTCTTTCAGCCACACCCCTGATTTTCTACACCTAGCCTTCTCAGACAAGGGCAAAAAATCTCAGAGGTCCCGTGCGCAAGTTGCGCATGTTTAAGATACCTTGGTGTTCCAAAATTGATAAGACTAGGCTTCGGCCACCATTCGGGCAAAATTCGAAATTTCCTACCAACTGAAAATGTTTAATGTGTCCCGCGCCCTCATATTACCTTATGCAGTTGCGAGCATTGTAAAACATTTACCAAAAAAAAAAAATTACATCTGATCTTAAAAGCAAAAGGAATGCTCAGATCTTAAGTCAGATAGCAATCATCATGATGTAACCAACACTGGTCAGCCCACTACCCAATCCATACCTTCACTTTAAAAAAAACACACACACACACACACACACACACAAACAAACAAATTCACACACCATACGGACCAATGCAAGGCCCAACTGTCCATCTTCGATAACACCCCACCACCCAGCACCCACCCTCACATGACTAGGTTCATCAAAGTAGGTCTTGTACCTCACAACTTACACACTCTACACTAATAATAATAATAATAGATAGCATTTGTATAGCGCATATCCCCGCTCAACAGCAGGCTTTATGCGCTTTACACTATATTATTACCCCAGCAGACCATAGAACACTCCGAAATATTCTCAGCTTCCCGGGAAGCATACAGTGCGAGCAGCCGATTAAGCGCTCAAACACTAACAAACTGACAAGATCTTTCGCTGTCTATAGCCGGGTACCCATTCCCACCTGGGTGAAGTGAGGAAAATTCGTGTAAAGTGCCTTTCCCAAGGACACAACGTCGGGCCCTTGACGGGATTCGAACCCACGACCTTACGGTTGCGAGTCCGAGAGCCTAACCACTAGGCCACAGACGCCACTACAGGTAAAGTGTCATGATGCGTCCCCATGCCAGCAGTGTGTCTTATTCAGTGTTGAAGAAAGAAAATCGAAAAGAGTAATGCTGATGAGCCATTACAACTAATTTTTTTTAATTATCCCCCAGAAAATCCAAAAAACATAGTTCTCACTTTAGATCACCATGAGATTCAATTAACACTGGTCAAAGCACACTACCCATCCCTCTTGCATCATTTCCCGATCCATTGAGCTGTCCCTTTGGTTTTATGCACCCTGCATAATTTAGCCAAATTTGATAATATTTTGTATAATTTCTGATTATTTTCCTGAATCATTCTTTGTTAAAATTAACAGAATCGCATAATTTCACATTTTTGGGCTCAATTTGCTTAATTTCAGAATTTTTTTTGCATAAAACCGCGGGGACAGATTGAGCCTACCCTCACATGATAAGATTTAAGGGATGTCCATCACTTTACACACACTTCAGTTAATGTGCAATGAGGCATCAAAATACCAGTTGTTTATACATCACGCTGTGTGGAGGCCAGCCTGGTGGGCTCATGTTTCTTGATTCCTCTATGACGGTCGGTAAATTGTTTTGCCTCATGCTCACAGGGCAATTTGAATTCAAAACAATTGTGTGGAAAAACTTAATCTGGTTTTTCGAGATGAGCTGTTTTGGCATATATCTGTAAGGGTGTTTAGGAAAACAGTGTTGCAGTCGATAGTGCCGTAAAACATCTACTCAATCATCAAAACAGTGTTGCCAATATAAAGAAAATATAGTACTTCAGTAAGGGAATGGCAAGTTGCACAAGCTATCTCAGCTTTTGAATTTTTTGTGTTCGGGTTACCTGTGCCTAATCTATCTATCTATCCATCCATCCATCTATCTATCCATCCAACCATACATCTATCTATCTATCTATAAATCCAACCAACTATCTATCCATCTATCTATACATCCATATTGCCTAATTGAACATTACTATCACCAGAGCAAAATATCAAACAAAGCAAGCCAGGTAAAGAAATACCTTGATATGAATGTAAAACAAACATTATGACCAAATCCTCACCTGGGAAGAAACCTCATCATGATGTCCCCATTCCCAGTGGCAGCTGCGCCACCCCCTGCATTACTGGCATAAGAACCCGCTCCCACGATAGGGGAGTCGCCCACTCGCCTGCGGGGAAAATATTTATACAACAAATGAGGTAACACTGAAATGAAATCATCGCAAAAACATACAAATATCTATATATATTATATTTGTGAAAGTTCGTCACTTTGGTTGCCTAAAACTTCCGAACCACATTACTTTCGAATTTGAAAAAAATAACGGTGGTTCAGGATCATTTAAAGGGTGCACAGTTATATTAAGGAGTCACTGCAGTTTATTTTTCAGTTTTTCATTAGTTTCGTTTATATCTTATCTTGAGAAAGTCTGTTTTCTAAGACTCCATTGTAAACAAGTGAGGCTTCCGTTCACAAGCAGTGCGCACTGCTTCCACACCTTTGAAATTCTTGAGTGTACAACCACTAATGTGGAATAGAGGCTTAATTAAAATTATATAACTAGCTGGGCCCCATTTCAATGAAAGGAATGATCAGCGCATTTACATCAACTGAAAGTCATTGGCCTTCTGTATTTACATCTACTGGAAAGGAGCAATAAATCTTGAAAAAAACGTGACACACGCGTTTCCAAGTTGCCAAAGCACCAAGCAAAAAAAAGAAAACATGAGGCTAGATCTATACGGGTCGCACAATTAAAATAGTGCTCAGTATTGCGCGACAATGCGCGATAGTATCGAAAGGAAGTACGACTTGAAATAAACAAACCTGGCAGATGTTCTAAAATTGCAGAAACAGAAGGGTCGGCCTACAAAAGCGATCGGCGAAATAAAGAAATTTAGCTTTTTGCAGCAAAACTGTCTCAAAACTGAAAAAAACGAAAGGCGTCATGATCTGGAGAATATTTTTAAGAATCTTTTGGCGAAAACAGCATGTCGATCGATGCAGCCATTAAAAAGCCTTTTGAATAGCAAAATTCGGCCACCACAAATAGATAATAGATATTATATTTGTTAAAGTTCGTCACTTTGGCCACCTAAAACTTAACTTTCGAATTTGACAAAATTAAAAGGTGATTCAGAATCATTTAAAGGGTGCACAGTTTTATTGAGGAGTCTGAAGTCACAGTAGCTTAAATTTCAGTTTTTCATTAGCTTCAAGGTGATAAATAAATCTCTCTTCCAGGTGATATCTAAATTTCTCTTTCAGGTGATACCTGCATCTCTCTTTCAATTGATCATTTTTCCAGATTTTTTTCTTGCGTGAAAATGACTTGACGATCGAGTCTTTTGAGTCCATTCATCGAAAGGGGAACAAGCTAGAGCTAAACATATTATTAAAAGGAAGCTAACTTGGGAAAAAAAAGGTTTCAGGGATCAAGCCAGTTTACAAAGTTTATAATTATTACCAGCTTTATTTGAAGTATACCATAAGAAATACAAAGAAAGATCAAGGTTTGAGGTCATTTTCTAGATTAACCCTTGTTCCAACAATGGGCGCTTTGCTCACTTTGGAAAATAATCAATTACATATATGCAGATGATACAGCGTAAAGCCAACTCAGATAAAAATGATTTCCAAATATCATTGCGCCTCTTCTGTATTCCCCCACTATATTGGAGAGAAATTATTGGAAAGATGATTTATAAGATGAAATTAATTTTCTTTGTGTGTGCATGTCTAAATTTTGAGCATGTGTGTGTGTTTGTGTGTGCATGTGTGTATGTGGGTGTGTGTGTGTGTGTGTGTGTGTGTGTGTGTGTGTGTGTGTGTGTGTGTGTGTGTGTGTGTGTGTGTGTGTGTGTGAGTGTATGTCCTCAGAGTCTTTCTGAGTGTACATGCGCTGAGTGTGTGTGTGGTGAGTGTGTGCATGTGTTGAATTTTTATTTAATGTGTGTGTATGTGTGTGTGATCGTGTATGTGTGTGTGAGTGTGAGTGTGTGCATGTGTTGAGTTTGTGTTTACATGTTTGTATGTGTGTGTGTAAGCATGTGAGTGTTTGTGTGAGTGAGTGGGAGGGAATTACTCAGCTGTCCACTAAATATCATCTCCAGCAATCTATATTTATTTTTCGTCCAAATATTTAAGTCCTTTGCCGCCTGCTGGTTCGAGTGCTCACCCAGGTATTTTGTGATTCAAACCATTGGTCGAGGTGCCAGATGCCACATTGCCCTTGCTATCCACAACGACCATCCCGATAGTGTCATGGTTGTCAGGTCCAGTGTCCATAATATCGTGATTGCCAGAGCTAGAAACATTCTCCGCAGGTCTGTAGGGGCCACAGTGCAAAGTAGGATCAGGAACCACATTCTGAGAAGTAATGTCTAGTTAGTTTCAGCCTGAGCAAAGAGAAGTATATTAACTGACAACAGACATTTAGAGCAAGGAAAAATCATGATGGGCAGACAGAAAAAACAGAGGGACCGGAAAGAAGTAGGATCTAGTGATGGTCCCTTCCAACCAGCTGTTCAGGTATAGCTTGTGTTATTTAGACTTTGCTGTTATATATATATGAAGCAGGTTTAACATGCTTTTCAGCACTATACAGTTATTTAAGAGTAGAAACCAAGGTACTGACTAGGATCAGGAATCACATTCTGTTGAGTCAGTTCCACTTACAGAAGACTTTGTTTAACATAAGGCCATTTGACACTAAATTTCTGTAACCATGAAAAGATTTCAAATTCCAGTTGTTTCTTCCCCCTCTTTATTCTATGCACTGCAACATCCCTTTAAAAGACTCTAATTAACATGAAGAAATCATCTGGTCCCATGAAGTTGGTGGGATCAGAGTTTTATTGAATTTGGACAAGACAGTTATTTAATGTATATGGTATGGGTTTAACTGTTTATCATTCCTTTCAACAAAATACAGTTTTTTACGAATAGAGAATTCTAATTTCAAAGTAATAGAACAAGACCAAGCCTAGAAAGTAGAGGACTATGAGGGCTGTCCCACAGAAAACCGGAATTTGGCTGTAATTTGACAACTATTCAATATTTTCACATTCTGTAAGCGCACACTTGTAAAACAATAATTTGGGAATTTCCCGATTGAGCACCATGAGCATCAAACAAACCAAACGAACAGAGCAGTTCTCCAAAGATGGCTACCCCTTTGGAAAATTGGTCAAGGGTAGAGGTGAGGTCTGTCATTCGGTTTCTGACCGCAAAATGTCTCAAACTATAGAAATACACACTGAAATAAAGTCTGTTTACGGGGAGAAAGTAATTGCAAAGTCACAGGTATATGAGTGGAGTAGTAAGTCCAAAGCCGGGCATACGGATATCAATGACAAAGTTCACCCAAGATCTTGTGTTTCTGCCAAGATTGAGGACAACAAGAGTCGCGTTAGCGAACTCATTCAAACAGACAGGCACCAAAAAATTCACGAAATTTCAGAGCCGCAAAACATTTCAAAGTTGACTGTCCATAGGATAGTGTTTGATGAGCTGCACTGTCGAAAGGTCTCTGCTCGATGGGTCCCAAAAGAGCTGACAGCTGATCACAATACGCAACGTGTTAATGTGTCTCAGACTTTGTTGAATCGTTGTCGCCAAGCTGTCACGGGAGTCATGAACGCATCTGGAGACCTCCAACAATATGATCAAGCATTCCTGAGAATTCATTATTACAGGTGATGAGACTTGGATACACCAAATGACCCCTGAGACAAAGAGGGATTCAATGGTTTGGAAGCACACGTCTTCACCTCCCCCGAAAAAGTTTAAAGTTCAGCCATCGGTGAAGAAACTCATGGCCACTGTTTTCTGGGATGCTAAGGATGTTCTGCTTCTTGACATTTTGGAACCAGGACAAACTGTTAATGCTAACAGATACAGACAGACTTTTGATACGTTGAGAGAGGTTGTGCGCCGAAAAAACCCAGGCCGGTTGTCCAGCGGGGTCATTTTGCAGCATGACAACGCAACGCCACACACCGCAAACACTACGAAAGACTGGATCCAAAGGTTCGGCTGAGAGGTTTTGCCACACCCCCCTCATAGTCCTGACTTGACCCCATCAGATTATCACCTTTTTGGTCCTATGAAACGCCATATTTCTGGACAGCGAATCACTGACGACGAAGACCTCGTGGAAGCCGTAAAAGATTGGTTGAAATCCCTTGACGTAAAATTCTTCAGGGAGGGTATCTTCTCCCTGATCCAGCGATGGGAAAAATGTGTCCAGCGGGATGGTGATTACATTGAGAAATAAAGCACATGTTGAGGTACGATATTTTACATTTTTATTATAATAGGACAAAGATTGTTGCTTTTATGGACCTTCTCCGGTTTTCCGTGGGACAGCCCTCGTACATGAACTCCCCAAAAAGCACAATCTCTAGCAAGGTCATGGAAGAGGAATAAAAAAAACAAGCAGTTTTTATGCAGATCAAATTGGGGGTTCTTTCATGGTAAAAAAAGTCAGAGGGCTCCAATTTCATCTGAATACTTGGCAAGTCTTTTAGTTTAGTAAGAGTTTTACAGCACTTGCAATACAATAAGATCGTATAACTTAACTCTTTAAACATCATCAGATGCAGGGAGCATCCAGAACTAGTGACAACTATTTTGTTTTATTTAGTGCTTGATTTTGGCTTGTTTTTCGGAGCTATTCCTGAACCAAGTTTTTTAGTAATGATTAAGCCTTTGTTTACACTATTTAGAAGTTAGAGGCAAGCTTTTGGGGTTATAATGAGACATAGTGCACTAGGTTTAGGTGACTGTAAAAAAAAAATTTTTAAACTCCGGAAAACGGTGGAAAAAACTCAGGGCTTAAAGAGTTAATATAAGTGCCAAAGATTAGAAGTGTTACAAGAAAGTAACAAAAACAACAAAAAAGCAGGAGAGGTTTGGCGGGTCTGCATAAGCTAGAAATATGAAGTCTATAAAAGAGCGTTTGATTTGCACTATAAGTTCAATGAAATGATCAAATTATTTTAGTGCCCAAATCTTGAGCATGCTTCAAAACATATTTTAAGTTTTGGGGGGTTTTTTTCCCCCATATGGTGGCACGGCAGTGAGCCAGACAAATTAGCCTCACCAAACAGATCTGGCCTGCAGGCCGTATATAGTTTGGTGACCCAAAATCTAGAAAAACAATATGACAAGTCGCATACCTTTCTAAAGTTTGGCTGACAGTTGTTCCTCTCCCACGCCCTCCAGTCATTAAAAGATTTGTTTGTTGATAGATCTTCTTCCACAAAGCCCATCCCCTTGGCAAACTCTTTGGCTGTGAAGAGAAAAAGAACATAAATGGTGAAATGGTGAAGTGGTATAGGTTTAATGCCCCTACCAACACTATTAGGTCAAGAAGCGGGACCTCTGAATTTAATGTCAATCTCCAAAAGAACCGAGCAAAGTGTGAAATTCGTGTGCCTTTTCTCAAGGACCCAACATCAGAAGGAGCTGAGGTGCGAACCCCCAAAACCACAATCTCACAATTTCGAGTCCCGTAGCCTAACCACTAGGCTACAAACGTCACGAAAAAGAACAAAGAATCAACAACAAAATTGATAGAATTAAATGAAAAATGAAAATAGAGCCGCTCTCAACTATCTTTTTTTTTTAATTCTCAAAAAGATAATACTGTATTAAAATATGCTGAATTCGGCTGGTACATAAATCTTAATTCTCAAAAAGAATATACTGTGATGATATCAGTGTATGCTGAATGTGGCTTCATCAAGCAACATAACAGTGACACAAGAAAAAGTTAATGAAAGTACAGATTTCTGAAATTTACCTGCTTTCGGCTTAAAAGTAAAGTGTTTCATTTAAACCAGTACGAACTATCTGATAATCCCCCACACTTGGATATACGCTAACCTCATTGTGAAATCTCCCGTTAAAGTTACTCACTGATGGTTTTTTGTACATGTGTCATGACATGGTGAAATCATGCGCTCGTCAAAATAAAAAAATGGGAGAAACTGGCATTTTTCAACCAATTGGGAAATTTTTATCGAATTTTTGTTTTTCCAGCTCATCCCTTTAAGTCCATATAAAAACAGATTTCCATGCGAATTTTACAGAAAAAACATTGATTAAAGGAACACAATAGGCCATGTTTCAATTTTCAAGGACTTTTAGCTATTGGAGTTACCAAACTTTGGCAGCCATTTTCTCGCTAATTTCACCACTGAAACTAGGCAACTTCGCCTCACCTCCTTCAATCGCAATTATCTTGACTTCTGTTCATGATAATTGGATATCTATTTCATTGGAAGCAAGACAAATTAATCAGTCTTCAGATGATACCAATAACTCGACCCGGACAAAAATTGACGAGCGCCTGATTCCACAGCATCGTGACACATATGATCATTAAACTTCAGTGTGCACTTCTAATTTTTCATTTGGTTGGATTTAAGACCCTTCTATGAAAAAGGCAATTTCGAAGGCAAAGCACATATTATATCAGTCTGTGTCAAGGCATAGATATAAACAATTAGCTACAGAAAGAACAGGCTGAACTTTTTCAAGTACACAAATGCTATAATGTACCATGCCACAGTAAGCCTGAAATTCACTGCAAAAAAAATTCCCATTCTCTTTATTCTATGCAAATGACAAATTAGTGATTGTAAAAATTGTAGCTGAACCAGACAATAAGTGCATGCTCAGCAGAATCAGAAGAGTACAAGAGAATGTCAGACTAGATTTCATACAATAAAAATCATAGAGGCTGAAGTATTTTAAACTTTTATGGGCCTGCAAATATGCATAAATAATAAAAGCAGCAATGCATATGAAATGGCTGTTAAGCTGCAGTTAACAGTGAGCTGGGATTAAGAACCGCATGTAAAGACAAAAAAAGGCAATAGCATTACAGGGGAAAGTAAAAGAGGAAAATATTAAGAGTGACAACCAACTACACTCAAAATAATAGCCCCAGAAAGACAGAAGAGAAAATCTTTCCATCTTTGAAGTACAAGGTTTGGGTGTGAGAAAAACTGCAGATATGAAAGCATATTGGATAGCACTTCATTTTCTTAAGCTCAAATTTCATTTTCAGGCCATCATAGTCTGATATGGCTTTCATTTTCATGATCAATTTGAGGAATTCTTTGAGCAGCATTATCTATCACGTAACAAGTTGTAACCTGTGAATTATTTCATGTTTACAAAATTATATGGGCTATTGTCTATATTTTTTGTATCTTTCTTTCTCTTGAAATAAAGTCATAGCTTTATTTTTTATCTTCCTTTCTCTTGAAAGAAAGCATAATCCGAAATCATTTTTTTTTTCTACTTCCTCACCAGATTCTCCCACAATGAGCGTATGCTTGGAGTACATCATGACAGCATGAGCGACTCCGATTGCATTCTTGATACGTCTCAGGTCCCCAACACTCCCAACCTCCATGGTGGCTCTGAAGCAGGACAATGTTTGAGTAAAGAGAACTACATTAGCATTGACAATATAAATATCATTGTCATTTAGACCTAGAAGAAAAGCAAAAAAAGACAGACAAACAGATGCAACAAATGGAAGAAAAGGAAGTAGGACATATCAGTATCATCTTTCAGCCACCCACAGGCACCTTATGCGTTACCACACACACACACACACACACACACACACACACACACACACACACACACACACACACACACACACACACACACACACACACATACGCGCGCGCGCAGGGGTAACCGGCAATGAGAGAGCAAACAAGCTCGCTGGAGAAGCAAAAGTGGAAGGAAATTTGACACTGGACCCACCAACTGTCCTAACCAATGTAGGGGAAAATTTGGGGAAGAATAGGGCAGATAGCGGTTCCCACACCCTTGAAGGAGAAGGGGATTCAAAGAAGAGAAGGAAACACAGCCACCTGTCCGGACCAGTCGTCCAACCAGATTATGATGGAGACTGTAAGCAGACAGACTCTGGGATGGATCCTGAAGAGGGGGGGAGAGCAGAGGTGGACATGTTCCGAATGTAGTGACCCCAACACTGAGGACAAGGAAAAGGTGTGACGACAGCTTAGCAAAGAAACCAAGAGAGTAAATAAAAACCTTCCCCACAAGGGAATCAAACTCACGCCTTCTAGATCTATGTGCAATATTAAAGTTACACTGAGGAGGCTGTTTTTCTCTACTATGTATAAGCTCTATAACTAATAAAATCAGTATACAAACAAATGATACAAAATACAAGAATATTAGAAAAATGTTGGAGCAAGGGGAAAATATATCTTTGGGCTAGGCAACAGAAGTGCTCGATTTGTTTCTACCTGCTATGGTTCATTAAGACAGACTCATTTGTGCATAGTATTTTCTTCTGTTTGTTTAAGGTAGACTTCCATTAACTCACTGTGATCTACATTTTTACAACTGCGCACATGTTTAATACCTACCTCATTTTCATAGCTTCACCTGTTATATTTTTTTTTCTAATCTTTGAGACATCAAAAAATCAAAAGAAAGAAAAAGGAAAACTCTTGTCATTTTTACCAAGCTCTGAAGACAGTCTATGAAGTATATGAATGCTACCGGGGACTAATCATATTCAGTTTTCAAATGATCTGGAAGCTACGGAAAAAAAACAGATTTTCTACTGATTTACACTGTTTGGTATTATTCAATCGAATGAACTCTGATAAGTTTTATTATTGTAGTGTGCAAGTCAAAGCTAAATCGATTTTGACTGTTGCTTTTCCTACATTTTTTGGGGAAGGGTAGGTGTTTTACGGTACTTGCAATTGCATAAGGTTATATGAGCGTACGGGACATATTTAACATTTTCAGATGGTAGGAAAGTTCGAATTTTGCCCGGATGCGGCCGAAGCCTACTTTTATCGATTTTGGACCACCAAGGGATCTTTAACATGCCCATCTTACACACGGGATCTTCAAGATTTTTTGCCCTTATCTGAGAAGGTTAAGTGTAGATCTTAATTACCATAAGATCAGGGGTCAGGTTGAAAGACAGCAGTAAAAAGGAGCCAAGGAGTAGCAGTAGAAAGGCTGCTGAAAGAGTCAGGAGCCCAGAGGAGGGGGCAAAGGAGGTGAGGGGGTGGGGGGGGGGCAGAAAATGGAAATGAAAGCAGATGACAGAACATTGTTAGAGAGCAGGAAAGGAGGTAAAAGGAGAAAATTTTAGAGAAGAAAATTTTTTTAGCGCTGTCTGGATTCAAACCCGGGACCTATTAAATGAGAGGGTAACACCATAACCTCTTAACTACGAGAGCCCCCTATTTTCCTTCACATTGAAGGCTCCAGCAACTTGGTAAAAAAACACCCCCTGAGCCATTCATCATTGCAGTTAGTTAGGTTGACACAACTATCTTTTACACATTACACATGCATACATTTCATTTCTATTCTTACACTAATTAAACCTTTCAAATGGTAGGCTTATGACGTGCCAGTTCTTATCTTCAACAGCAAGAATTTCTTTCTAAAGCGAAATTCAGTTTTCAAAGGTGTTGGAAGTATATGTTATTCTAAAGATATGAAAGCATAGTAGGCTGAGGCTGAGTTTAGGAAAGATAGAACTGACATTGAAAACTTTAAAGTATAAGTATACATCAAACTTTAAAGGAGCGGTTTTGCCACCAATATTTGTGGTGTAATTTTGAGTTCCATGCTTCCGACGGTTAGGCTTTTGTCTGCTGCCATGCTATATTTCACTTAACTCAAGTTAAGTCCCTGAAAGGCATTGTGTTGTCAAGAAGCTTGCTTCTGAAAAGATCTAAATTATGTTTATGTGGGCATAAACTTTTGGCCTAGATTTAAAGATTTGTTTCATTTACCCATTCATAATCATTGCATCCAAGGTGGTTTCTCCATGCTCGTCCGGTTTCCCTCCATAACCAACCGACCCTCTACATTGTAGTTCTTCGCATTTACTGCAGCCTTTTACTACAGCCTCCACTGCTGAGCTACCTCTTGAAATCTGGCTCCAAGCTGGAAAAAGATTATAGTTTTCAATTAAATGGGTTTATTTTATAAGTATAAGGCACCTACATTCAGATAAGTAATTTCAAAGGGAGATCACTATGATGGAGAAAGTAATGAAGAAAAGAAAAGAAATGGGGCACATATAATCCACTGATGAAATTCAAACATTGCAAACATTATATGATATTAAAAGTGCACCAACGACTGTACTTTTAATAACAAAAACATCAAAAAATAAAATAGGCAGATGATTCCACTCGTCATAACAACAAGAGTAGAAATACAGGGACTCTGCTAACGTATCTACAAATTGGTGTGAGTGTGATAACCACATCCTTTTACTAAATGTAAAAAAGACAAAGTAATTAAGAAAAGACTTATTAGAGAAAAAAAAGACCAATTGCAACCACTATTTATTAAATATGAGGAGGTGGAGGTTGTAAACTCTTACAAATATCTTGGAATAACAATTGATAAGAAGCTTGACTGGCATCCCCACACTGCTCTTGTGCATAAAAAGATAAATCAAAGAATGTTCCTTTTAAGGAAATTAAGAAGTTTTCGAGTCGATAATAACATTATTATGTCCCTTTTATACCATTCTATGATTGAAAGCGAGGGTGAACAATAAAGAAAAATCTGACAGAACCATTAAGAAAGCCAGCCATAACTCTGGATATCTTTTTACTAGAATTGATGAAATGTTTAAGATCACAAGTATAAAAAAGATAAACAGAACTATAAACAACCTATCACTCCCCCTTTCCACACAAATTGTAAGATCACGCAGCAGTAGATACGAACCTGTCAAAACAAAGAAAAGTAGATACAAACAAAAAGAGTTTTTTACCATCTAGTATAGGCTACTGTTGAAAAAAATATCAATGTATTGCTTTTTTGACTATGTATCTTTATAACTCTAAAGTCTAAAGGTAAGGGTCTGGTTATTAAATTCCTGCATGTGGTTGAATGATGCATCCGATGTAATATGTGCATTTGACAGCTTTACCTTTCTTTTCATATATTGAACTTTAATGAGAGTAATATATGAATATAATTCAAATGTTTATATGTATACCTGATGTGTTTTAACGTCCTGTACAGCCAAGAAAAATTTCCGTCTGGGACAATAAAGTATAAACTCATCTTATCTTATCTTATATCTGAAAAGAGATCCTTGTTTGTGCGTTAAATTCTAAAACAACAAGGGGAGAGCTGGTGAGGCCTCGGACATGGGGAGACTTCGTAAACGCCAATTCTCGCTAAACTATTAATAGTACAAACTCTGAATCTCATATGACATGTTACATAACGTGTCATATGAGATTTAGCTTGGTGTGATTTTGCCATCTGACTGAGCAAAAACCTTCCATCTGCTGTGAAGGAAATTGTATTTTTGACAAGGGTGTATCCAGTTTTCATACCTCAGTTTATAAGCTTTACACGTCACAACAGTGCACCAATCCTTCCATAAAACTATTTGTGCTCTAGAGTGTGTTTTACACATGACAAATTCATAGAATTAAACCTAGCTTTCATGAACATGTTTTCTACACAACCCCCATAGTAGGGAGATTTCGTAAAGGGAGTGGGATGACTTTGTACATTGTCCCAAGTCTCCCGATGACTAATAGAAGTTGTAATCAGAGTCACTGTGAAAATTGAATTTTAAAAAATTATTCTCTTGTTGTTGTACATGTATTTACCAGCCTGCAACCAATTCTAGGAAACACACCACCCCAAAAACGAAGGAGCCTTTTACTTTTAGTTCACAAAAAGATGACTCGACATGCATACACTTGTTTAATAACTCATTGTCTTTTCGTCATGCAGAAGCTAGCTATGTACACAGTGAAGAAATCAACTCTGAAAAAGACTATTTAAAATGGTGTGAAGACACCAAGGCATTTTAGAGACACTCGTTTACGAGTGCACAAATTTTTTAATGATCCTCTGGGGAAAAACTCTCGGAGTGTTTGGTAAATGTTCAAAGATGTTCTTCTAACCCGACCTTTGCGATATATAAATTACATCATATCAAGGCGAACAATATTATTATAATCCTGCCAGAAACATGGCACATATATATGAACAAAATCTACCATAAAAGTAAAAGGCTGGTATTCTGGGTTCTGGTTTAAAACTGGCGCCCTTTCCATGAAACCAAAGAAACGTAACTTTGTTGTTATCAAAATTGGGATTATTCGTCGAAGTTTCCTTCGCATTTATCCGATGTCTCACGCAGAGTGATGTGATTTTGGGTATTTTAGGGTACTTCAAATGTATAAGATACTTGGTAAAATGTGATGATGCACGTTAAGCTGATATTGCAATTAGGTGCCCAAATGGCTAAAAATAGTCTAATGGTGAAATAGCCTTCTTTTTAATTCGTCTAATTGGCTTTACTTAGCGATGGAGCCAAAATCAAAAGGTTCTGAAGACTCCTCGCTCTGGCCTAATAATAATAAAAAATAATAGGCCTAATAATATTAATAATAATAATTGTCATGATATTCGATACTTATACTCGAATATATATAGTGACATCCCCTTTACTTTATAGAAAAAATTTTTTTTTTTGTCATAATAATAAAAATGTATTGGCCTATAAAAGAATACGCTTATTACAATAATGATAATCGTAATATAATAATAAGCCTTAATAGCCTTAATAGCCTGTACATAAATCTGAATAAATATAGCGACACAATATAATAATAATTATAATAGCCTAAAATAATAATTATTATTATTTTATTATAATGACAATTATCTTAATAACAATAATAATCCTAAAAATAAATAATAATAATAATGATTATATATATATATATATAAATATACAGATAGATAGACAGATATATGATAGATAGATAGATAGATAGATAGATAGATAGATAGATAGATAGAAAGATAGATAGATAGATAGATAGATAGATAGATATAGATAAAAAGGAAGTGTCTATGTTCTCTAACGATAGAGAACGTATACAAGCCGTCTACATTCTATAATGTTCAGTGCTTCCAATTTTCCGCCATTTTTTAGTTTCCTCCAGACCTTATCTGCTGATCCGATTCCCACCGCCTCATTGATACCCCCCCTCCCCCTCCCCCAAAATGTTCCCGACTTTCTCACTTTTTTCGTTGTAAAATAACTAGTTGACCATTTTTTGTCTCAAGCTCGAATACGCAGCTTGAAATGGCATGTTTCTGGGTAGATTCTTTGGACCCTCTGTGCAACATTGAGTCATCTTGTTTCATCTTAAACCATTCAATTGTATACAGGTTATTTCCTGTTATACTCATGTCTTTAAAATAAACAAACAAAAAACCCCGAAAACCCCCTAAAGGGAAACAGTGACTTTGAATGGGTCCTCCTATTTTTAGACATCCCGTCTACAACATTACATGTATCAGTTTTGGATAAATCATGTACACTGTATTTAATGTAGGCCTACATCTTCGTACACATTTTTTTTATTATGGTTGATTTAAGAGGTGTAAAGTTTAGCTTTTTACCAAGGTTTGAACTTTGATTGAAATTTTTTTTAAACTTTTATTCTCAACTTCGTTTTTTCTTTTCTTTTCTGCCTTCATACTGACAAATTATTTGACATCCCTTCCGTTAAATTTTATGCAAAGTTTTATATTGAAATTGATGCACAGATGACAAGAGTTTTCCCTGAAAATTTTGACTTAAATAAAATTTGTGCTGCGTTTTTAAATTGAAATTATCCTAAGACAAGATTTTTTTCCCTTTAAATAAATGGGTCCCTTTCTTTTAGACTCGTGATATGTGAGGTTGCAATATATAGTAATAGAGAGAGAGAATGACAGAAAAAGAGGGAATGTGCACAAAGAGATTATATGAGTGTGGAATGTGTAATTCTGATGACTGATGTCCTTGGTTGTACCGTACCTCTATAAACATTAGGTATGTTTATTAACTTTCGGTTTGGTTGTGCACATTGTTGAACGCAAAGAGCATGACTGAGGGGTGCAAGATCCGTTTTATAAATCCTGCCAATGTAGATCTACCTTTCCGTGAAAAAAACCCCCCCAACTATACAGTCGACTACAAATGAGGTGATGTTAGGGGAGGGAAAAATAAACAGATCAACTCATCCAAAGTTCAACTCTTGGGTATTGTAAAGAAGAGGTGCTAGGACCCCAGAAAAGGTTTAACTCAAGCGGAGTCGACTGTATTAAATCATCTTTCATGATCATAGCTCATCTCATGTTTTTATGTAACTTTTATGCCTTGTTTAAGAGAGACCTGTTTTTGTCAACAAGATTTTACACAAATGTATACTCGTAAACATTGTTAATGTTCGTTTTTAATTCAAGGTTGAGGATTGTGAAGGTTGTGACTAAAGGGACGTAAGGACGTAATCCCCATAATTTTTCTTCCAACAACAATAGTATTATCATTATGCTTACAGTTCAGCCTCTTTATTTATAGCGACATCATCGGGAACAGAAAAAATGTTATAGAGAGGCCTCCAGAATTATTAGTAATGATATATTTAATTTATACGTAAGGAAAAAATCGGGACTTCGGCACCATGTCGCCACATAACCTGGTAGAGGATGTCGAAAGGTATCGAAGGTCGTATAGAGAGGCTGCACTCTGCTTTATTTTTAAAATGTTTTTTAGATGGACTACATACTACATGAAAAAAATAATGTGTGTCTCATTATAAATATATATAATGCTGAGGCAAACATTTGTACCAATTATTTGTATTATAATAATAATAAACAGTAATTTACAATGCAGAGTTCTGTACAGTTTTGTCACTTGTGTTTGTCTTCCTCCTTTTCTGTTTTTTCTTCCTATTTTTAAATCTGATTCTCTTCACATAACTTTTGCTTCTGTTTCATCTATTATTATTATCATAGATGCTCTGTCAATTTCTGATTAATTTTAGGATTGAACTACAGGACCTAAATGGACAATGGCTCCATTGTGGCGCCGACGAAAATGAGACCATGTGTGGAGGTCAAATAGGAATTTGGGGGGGGGGTTACAGCGATAAAAATCTGCCTACGGCACGACATCGGGTTGACATCGGCAAGAAAAATCCGACCTAGGACCGATATCAGTTTGACATCGGCATACGACGGCCATAAAAAATCCGACATTGGCACGACATCGGGTTGACATTGGCAAGAAAACTCCGACCTAGGACCAATATCGGTTTGACATTGGCATACGACGGCCATAAAAAATCCGACATCGACTCGACATTGGCATAGATGGATAGGTCGGCAGCCGCCCTGGGGCCGACATCACTCCCGACGGCGGGGCCGACGTAGGGCCGATATGAATCCGAAGGTGCAAATGAGCCCCAGCCGCCTGCAGCGGCAGCAGCGGGCCGGGAGCGGACATTAAGTTTGTCCGACATCAAATTGACTTTGGGCCGCCATAATCATGCTGGCTGGGATCTTGATCTATGTTGCGTTGCCTTTCCTGAAACAGTGCTGTAAATATTAAGATCTACCTTTCGCTGTAGGAAGTTCTGATGGCTGAATGTAGCGTGCGTATGAAGTCACACAACTATTTTACGATCGTGGTAACGAATCGCACCGGAAGGGGTTTTTTTCTTTTTCTTATCTCCTCCTCCCGACTGACTAACAATTTTCCCCCATAATTATGATTTGTTGCTTTGTAGTTTTTTATGTAGTGATGAAGCATACACATTATCTGGTTTTGTCCCCAAGAGCAGGAGCTTTACCTACAAAGTATACTTTTCCTTTTACCAATTTAGGCCTGGTTAAAGTTCAATAGTCACATAGTGGCTGTACTTGATGTGGAGATCTCATTTTTTTTTATTCAAGGCTCTGAGAGGCCAAATTTTAGCTCTTCAATTGCAAATTTTCTTCAGCTTACGCGGGGGCCTCCTGAAGCCCCAGGTGTCATGATATTCGAGTATAAGTATCGAATATCATGCCCCTGCCATTTCTCCGCTGCCAATTAATTATTATTCGCCCTGGTTAAAAATTGGGGGTCCGGGGGCAAATTGATTGTTGGGCAGTCGGGAGGAGGAGAAGAAAAAAAAAAAAACCCTTCCGGGTCCGGGATTCGATGCCATGCATGGAAGCACTGAACATTATTAGAGAACGTATAGACAGCTTATTAGGCTATATTTCTCTAACATTTCTCTAACAATTAATTAATTGTGATTATGATTATGATATTATTATAATAATATCATAATCATAATCACAATTAATTAATTAATAATTCATTGTTAATTCAATTTTTACGTTGTTCTTTTTATTATTATTATACTACTACTATTATTATTATTATTATATTATCATTATTATAATCTATAAAAATAAAATTATCATAAAAACCATTATATGCCATTTATTATTATTTTATCACTAATTATATAGATCAACAGGCTATACATAATATTATCACGCCATTATTATTATAAGTTATAAGGCATAGGGCCTATTATTAATATTATAAAACTAGACTGTTCTCTAGATCTTATACTATACTCACCTTCGGCGGTAGCCGATGGAACAGGCCAGGTGTTGATGACAAGAGGAAGCTGCTTCGCTTTCACGGCGAAAGGTAGATCTATGGCTAGGCTAAGGATGACCAAAGCAAGCCAAAGAAAACGCATCAGTTTTGAAGTTTGAACCCGAATTACCTCCATCATAACTGGCAGCCTGACTGGTGGTAAAATAAAATCACTGTGTTCTGCGTCTGTTTTAGTCTTGGCCAAGACTTGGCAAACTGCAAACTGGAACAAGGCAGAATGATTCGTTAAGACTTAGATAGATCTAGCGGGTGACAAGAACAACTTAGGATCCGACGTCTGGTCTTGTTCTAGGCCAGCAGCTAGCCCTAGCCTATTATATTATCTCAATTTAAGGCCTCGGACTCGGTCACCCGCCCCATCACTGTGGGAGTGGGATAGGCCTAAACTAAGATTAAACCAAAGAGAAGAGAAAAAAAAGTTGAATTGCTTTTGTCACGTGACAAGGGGAGACTTTTCCTTGGAAAGTGGCTCAACGTTGCCGAGGTTAATCCAAAATAGAGGATCACGTGATATGGAGACTGGAAGAAGTCCTACTTCTATAAATAGGCTGACTGTTTGTCAATAAAGACCAACTCGAGGTGTATCCGGGTTTGATGATCCTGAAAGTGAACACGAATCTCGACAAAATAACAGCTTGAACATAGGCCTAATATATCTAAAAGTATTGTGCTCCCAATATTCATCATTAACAATTTATTAAAAACAAGACTGTGATGTTTGCATGTTTGCCTGAGATCGAAGGCCTGGCTAAACCTAGTGATAAGTGATTACGTTTTTGTAGTCCTACTTTGTTATCTCGTTCTTCAGACTTAGATCTATCACACTCTGACGTCTTGAACTTCTTGACTTGCACACTTGGGTATCACGCTCGTCTCGTCACTTATCTTTAATCTGCTTGAACCTACTTTATTTTCTTTTTATCCACAGTAGCAGTCATCAAGTATGGGGAATAGAAGTGGGGCAATCCTTGCTCGAACATCATCACTAATGTCTGCTGAAAACTATGGGCACATTCAGTTCAGTCAAGATGATGATGAAGAAGCCCTGCCTCATAGAAGCCAGACTGGCAGATTTTTGCGTACAAACAACGGAAAAGATAAAGATGATGCTGATGTTGGTACAGGGAAATGTGAAAGAAAGTCAGACTGGAACTTAAGGTTTAGTGGAGACATGCTGCAGTGGGAAAAGGTTGCAGGTTAGTCACTAGATCTATATCTATATTATAATTTTAGTGTATGAGTGATAATAATTTTACGTCAGACAGTTCTGTCATGGCAGTGACCAACGAAGAGAAAATGTTGACACTATCGTTTCGGCAGATGATTATTGTGTTTGTCTGTCTCATGCATTTTATCTTTCCCAATGCACTTACTAGTGTCGTTTGTTGTCAGTATCATTTCTTTCTATAATGATGATGTACGCCTAACTTTTCATTTAGGATGGTACAATAGTCTCCGCCTGAACACGTTACACATGGTGCTTGGAAGGGCTCATAAACATGCATTTACACGGAGGGTTCGTATATAACGTGCAAAGGGGGAAAGAAATGCAACCATCTCATTTCCTTCATGAATTTTAGTTACCTCACTGCTGGGGTGTCGCTTTCACAGATAATGATAATGGGACGAAACGTTACTGTTTTATAAAGGATTCCCCAAAATTAAGCATTATGACTACACAAAGGAGTTGAGTGAGGAGAGCAAAAGAATCAAAAAGACCAACTCACTATATAACCGATCTAATGTGCACTTTATAAGAGCAAGAGAGAATAGAGGCTGTTGGTGACGGTCACAGGTAAGAGTGCTCATCCACGTGCCTTTCCAAGCGGCCACTCGCCAACTGCCTGTCATTCTGTTGGAACTCGGTTGAGTTGTTAAGTTAATGCATGGATGACTTCAAACATTCTAAGAGACAAAGCTTGTATTCTCTAATGATTTGTTGAACAACATTTATAGTATGCTATAATTCGGCGCAGCTGACCACTGAGTTGACTAATCTTTAGTCCTGTATTAATAGGCCTCTATCTATGAGTTCTAAGCGTTCTAAAGCATTGAAATGTGTTAACTGTCATTTTAATTCAATTGGTTGTCCATCAATGTCGACTGATAAATCCGTAGAGGAGACTATTTCTTAAAGAAGAATGGAAATTTAGGATTAAGATGATTCGTACGTGCCTTCTGCTTTGGCCAATGAGACAATTCTAGCAGAGAATATTTGCCACATTTTGATTATTTAAAAGTTTTATTTCCTTGTATATTATGCATGTGAACAGCTTTGGCAAATTCTCTCCTGGCTTTGACGTTTCTAAATCAAGAAGCTACAAATGATTTCCTGTCCTATGTGTAATTGCTGCTTTCTAACTCATGGGTCTGTCATGAGAGCTAGACTCTTGGATTAATGTTGCTAAGATATGTTCAGGGTATGTTTTTAGTATTTGTTCTTTGTGCACCAACTATACTCTTCCCTTCTTCCCTGAGGACAGTTCAGATACTCCCTGTCGGATTCTGGAATCATGCATTCTTACAACATAGCCAGCTTTGTTGAGTTATTTATGAGCTTAGGAAACAGAATCTCTGCATTTGCCCTGTTGACAACTTTGGTGTGTGATATTTTGTCCTGCCATTTGATGCAGAGAATTTTCCTGAGACAGTTCATATCATGTGTGGAAATGATTGGGCTTCTTTGCTTGGTTTGACTGTCCAGATCTCAGCACTGTACACAACATGGTTGGGAAGACTAGTATTGTAGATTTTCAACTTGCCTCTGTGAAAATGCCACAGCAGTCCCAAATCCTTTCTCTTCGTCTTCCTAAGGATGCACTAGCTATCTTCATATTTGTTATGTAAAACTATTTCTGAGTCAAGGTGGGCATTTAAAAACAGTGCTGCAAAGATATTTGAAACTATATTATATATATATATATATATATATATATATATATATTTAGTGTTGTTTGTATTTGATTTGAGAAGTGTGATGTCAAGGGACATGACTCTTACCTTTACTGTGGGGACAAGATTATTAGGGGAGTGGCACGCCCTTGGATGACGTCAAGAGTCTGGCGCCAAATATAGAGACATCGTCTGAGAGACTCACTGAGGTATTCAGTCGAACTCAGGACCACGACGAGGCAACACTTATCTTGGACGGGGGCCCCCTGACAGACCCGACTCATCGGACCGCCAGGTAACTTTACAGAGAAGGGAGGGTCTGGATGTGACTAGGGAGAAGCTGGTAATGATATAAAAGCTATTTATTTGTTTACGATAATGTTGCTTACATAATTTCACTTGTAGGACCACTAGAGTAAAAGTCTTCTTTTTTTTTTATTAATTACTTTTTAACTTAATCTGTGCATGTGGAACTTTCTGGAGACCTTGCTTGCTCTAATTATTGTTAGGTTGTTGTTTTTTTGTGAAGCTTCTTTTGGACTTGATGAATACAAAATCCTCCTGGACTGTAGTCAAGGATCGGATCTGTGTGACAGGGACTATGTGTGTAACAGTTATCTGTCTGTCAGGTACCATCGTTGGAAAGGAGCCTTCTATGTGTCAAGGTGAGGCTCAGAACCTGATTTTCGTAGTGTTAAGCCTTTGCTAATCTAAAGATACTGATTAGGGATTTTACCCTCCCAGTCAGTTATATGCAGCATAAAAGTTGTCCAAAATGTAATTGCTGATGCTCTGCTCCCAGGCTCGATGGTTGAAACAGATTTTGGATGTAATAAGGCTTTTGTTTGTCTCCACAAAGAAATTTTGAGAAAGGGCTTACGATAAAAAGTGGAAAAGAAAGCTATTCAGAGAAGATGCCAATGATGAATGTTCTTTAAGAAAATGGATGACCAGGCAGGTGTTGAGATGGAACCCACAGGGTCAGAGGAACAGCTGAAGGCCAAGAAAAGAACAATGTTTCCTCCTCAATGTCCTGTCTGGTGTGGATAGGGGGGATATATGAATAATCTGCCTTATGTACACTGAAGTCTCTGTATGTGGCATCATTGTTACATTTTTTTCTCCATATATCCTGCAGTGTTATGCCCATTTGCAAAATAATTTATCTGAGTCTAGTTGGGTATGAAACTCATGATATAGTCAATTTCTTCATGTCCAGGTTCAAGCACAAGCCTTTCATCGTTCCGGTGTCAAGCCACTCTGACATGCCACGCCTCATGTCGTCGGTGACAGCTCGTAAACTTCCAGTCGTGGCTTTGCAGCGCCACCTGGTCGTTCTAGAAATGATGGTGGGCGATCGTATCCATGCCTTTCCTATCATGGATTGTAAGACAAGGTCTGTCTTTATGTTTTCATCACTAAGCCCTGTTATTTATACCTTAGAGTGGTGATTCCATGCAGAGTCATTCTAATGCTGTTCTTGCCTTGTGACTGGTAATAAGTGAGACCAGAAAATCTGAGTTCTGTTCATTTTTTTGGTCTTTGTTTGGCAATTCTAAAAATTCTTTATTCACATACAAGCAACAAGAATATGGGGAAAAAAAGTTATTTCAGAAGAATCTGGCCTGCAAGTTGTCACCATTTAGCAAAATCAGTATGATCATAGAAAAATGCTTTCTGCTTTGATCCTTCTAGTCTGCCTTGTAAACTGTATTTGTTAAGTAGAACAGTAGCCTGTGGCATAAGATATAAACACTGATTCCTGTTAGACTGCCTAACATTGTTGTATGTCATGTTGCTTTTAATTAGATAGTAACCAATGGGTTCGTCCTGTCTTCTAAGCAATACCCGTTGGAGGATCAGTTCGGTTTCTGGCTCTGTCGGTGCACGCTATATAAGTAGACCAACCGCTTAACGATTACACGATGCGCAGTTTTGAAAACAAATAATTGTCAGTTTTGCCACTCCCATGGTGGAAAATCCGACTAGACCCTCCATGACTGAACCGACGAAGCCAAACCAAACTAATCCTGCCTATGGGCACCACTTATTATGATGTGATCTGATATTACTTGTTAGACTATCAAACAATGTTGTAAATCACCAATCGTTTAACAACAGAAATAATTAAAGACTTCCTGTCTAAACATATGATCTTATAATTAGACTGTAAAACCATTTATAAGATCACCATGCATTCAACTAGAAAGTAACTAAAATAACTTTCTTATAAAACAATGATTTAATTATTCCCCCCCCCCCCCCCCCTCCTCTCATTCCAGATGCATTAAGGCAGTGTACCAGCCCCGGTTTGTTCTCACCCTTATTGAGGGAGCAATCTCTCCCGACCTGAAGTACTCCGGTCTCTTGCTCTACTGCCAGTCGGAAGACTCACCGTTTTTCTCCTACAGCCTCTTTCTGGTTGACAATGAGTCGGGGGAGGTTCTGTCTCGTACGTGTCTGAGCCGCGGTGACGTAGAGCCTCGGTTTGCCTTCCACCCAGCGTACAAATCACCGCATGTTGCTGTTGTTCAGTACAGGTAGGCCTTCTTTTGTTAGTTTTTACTTTCCTTGTTCAGTATAAACATTCTCTGACTCAGAAGCAGGTAGAAGGTGAACTTCCTCTCTTGGGATTTGAACCTACGCCTTTTTCATGCAGTGAAAAATAGGCTTACCATGACACCACAGACACTGGTTCCTCAACTCTGAATGGTATGACCTGAACTTACAAAACTATTTGTGAACTTTCTCATTTTACTTCTAGTACTCAAGGAGTTGAAACACAATGAGCTCCCTCAACTATTTTCTTCGCTTTTTAAGATTTGAAAGGGAGGGAGGGATTGCTGTTTCCTTGGGTTTTTTCTTGATATTAGTATGCATTGAGATACTACATTTAGAACTCCATAGCTTATAAGCTTCAGAAGAACATGAAAATGTTGATTACAACGAAAGTTAATAGTATCAAATAATATACAATGAACTTTTTAAAAATTGTTTTAGATTTGATTTGTTTTCTCCTTGTTTTTTTGTTCCCTCGTCATACAGTAATGACAACTCTAGTAGCAAATTGGTGATTCTCCGCTTGAAAGATGAGGAAGTAAAAGTTGCCAGCAGCCCCCATCTCTCCTCCCTCCTTGGGAGTCACCAACTGTACCCACGGTTCTCTCCAGACGGCAACTTCCTGTTACTTCACAAACTCATGGACGACAGATTCGGTATAACATCATATTGCGACACGTACATCTTTCGAGTGACTGGAAACAACTTTCAGCTGGTGAAGTACATCAGCAGCAAGATCCCAGGAGGTTTCCGTGCCTGCAGGGTGTTTCATCACCCAGAGTTCTCTCGCTGCGGCCAGTATTTACGGGTCATCAGCAAGCCCAAGGAGGTAGCTGTGTCAGTTTTTGCCTTGCCAAGTTGTGTGGGGCTGTCTGCTCGGTGCCGGCAGGTGATTATGGAGAGGATTTCCTCCTATGATCAAGTCTCACAGCTGCCGATTCCCAACAAACTCAAAGATTTCTTGTTGTTTAAGCCTCTCAGTGATTACTGAAAATCATTTATTCACTCTTCTACGCTAATGAAAATGTCTTTAATACATTTCTGCTTGAGTTAAAGTACTTGAGCACAGATCTTGTTTTGTAATGAGTGTACAGTATTTCTGATAACCAGTGGATAGCGCAGAATGGGAGATTTTGTTGAAAATGAGAGGAAAACTTGAGATTGAAACATCAGTATTGACTTTCTCAAATGGGTCACTGGAGTGTCAGAGTAGTTAATGAGTTAATGTCTTTAATGACAAGTTTCTGAAAGCTGTTGGCAATGTTTCTGTTACAATTGCTGCTGATTGTATAAGAGAAAAGTCTGCCTCAATGTTACAAATCATTCAATTCTGTTTCCTCTGTGCACACCACACCCCACCCCACCCCACCCCACCCCACCCAATGTTTCCTGAAATGACTCTATTGCCGTGTTGATATACACCAGTATGATTTTGAGATGGAGATGGATTGTCACATTCACCAAACTTATTGCCTTTGTAAAGTTTTGATAGATAATTCTTTTACACCTGGAATATTTAATTTGATTATGAACCTTATGTTTTGTACCAACTGAGTTGAAGTCGTTTAAAATTTTAAAGAATATTGCACTTTTGTGGTCTCAAATGTGGTCAGCACAATTTTGTTTATATTGTTTTGAGCTTTACTGCTTTTATTTATATTAACACTTAACTTACTTTACAGTTAATGGCATAACAACCTTTGTGATAGCCTAAGTTTTCGGGCTGTGATTGTCTATTTTCCTGCTCTGTTTACCTCCGGTCTGTTGTATTTTGTAGAATAATCTAAATACTTGTAAATAAACTGTCTGTGAAGCATATGCATATATTCAACTTGTTGGGTGAGAGCGATTATGGGCCAGTTGAGACGTTTTTTTGCCAGCTGGTGTGTTGTTATCGTTGGGAAAGGGCTTTAAGGACGACTTTTGCCTTTGGGTACCATTTCCTGCTTCTGTTTTAAAAACCCATTTTCTGTGTCATATAAATCCCACATGGGCCCCGCTGACAGTTCCTTTTTCAACTACTTATTATCTGCTCTAAATGATGATCACTGTGTGAATGTTCTTTCTTTTTACTCAAACTCATCACTGCCTGGTCCAAATACACAAAGTGTCTGCTGGGACATTTCAGTAACCCACTTTCTGCACTTTTTAAGGACCCCCGGGCAAGTGTTGAGTTCCTGCGTGCTGTCGGCATCTCTGACCGTTTATGAAGCCACAGCGCCAGAAGAGAGAGAGAGAGAGAGAGAGAAAAACACAAAGTTTGACAGTTTTGTTTTGATGTATAAATTTATAATAATAAATAGCATTTATGCTACACATTTCCATTTTCTAAAAAATGCTAAATGGGCTTTGCATTCATAAAAAGATATCACATTTTAAACATTATGGACATGTGTGTACATAAAACATATCAGGAGGAGGGAAGCAATGACACTGTCTGCCTGGGCATGTCTGGGAAACATCTCTGCTGAGAGACAGAGATACTTAACAAAATGTTTTCCTTCAGTAGGAGTCATATTGATGGCTTTTGTGTTCAAGGAGAAGAGCTTAATTCCTCATCCAATGCCATTCATTGCTGTAAGCCATCTTCTTTATTATACATCCTACTAATATTCTCTGAGTGATTTTTACAGTGGGTCCCGGCTATAACTGGACTCCTAGGACAAATGTTGTATCCGTGATAGGGATATGTTTAAATCTTGCTATACAAGAGGATTAAGTTTACATATACTATTAGTAATATGATGGGAACTTTTTTTATAGCACCCTCTGCCAGTTTATCTGCCATATGTTGATATTGCTTCTTTCTTTTACTGTGATATTTTTCTCCTCATCTTTATCTTTCTGTATCTTAGTCTCCTTGAGGTTGTCTATCATATGAGATGCATGGGTAGTAATGATAATAATTGTTCCATCTGTATAGGGTATATCGATACTCAACAGCGTTCTCTCTGCTCTTTACAACTATTTGTTATGTAATACAGACTGGCTCAGGTAACACGAACACGGAAAACTCAAAATCACAAATAGCTCGTTCAATTTGCCATTGCCCTACTAATATCTCTTTATTTTTTCATTATCGTTTAACCCGAATAAAGGGTGTGTCGAACACATACGTCAATCCCCAACGTGTTAGAGTTATCCTTGCCCGACTGTAGTTACCACAGTTGTAAAAAGGAACATAGATCTGTGGTAGATCAAGCGCCCTGTGCCCTCTTTTAACTTTTCTTTCAATCATTTATTCCATTACGAGTCTCGCTACCGCCCTTGGCGACCATGCCACCACAGTGCATCCAGCTTTTCCACCTCCCTCCCATGCACACACAGTATTGCACATCATGAATTGTGCACTCAATCTACATAGTCCTACTGTGGGTCATGTAGATGCAATGCACCATGTTGGACAGTTTTGCTTCATTTTCTTTTTTTTCTGCTTTCTTTTCCGTTTGTTTTTAGGATTTTGTCGATGGTTGGACTTCTGTTATAGCCGAGCATATCTGTTCAAATACCTGCTATAAAATAACTCTTTTTTTTTTTTTACTATATGATAAAAGATCACAACTCAGGGATTTATTTTGAGCTTACCATAGCCAGTATTAAGTTATTACCGTGACTGTTATAAGTGGGACCCACTGTAGTTTCTAAAAAGCATTTTTCTATCTAGAATTCTTATTTGTTTATGATGGCAGGACTATAGATCATGTATTTGCTTTAGTTCTATAGCATATTAAAACTTAAGTTTTAGAAAAAGTTTTAGGAAATTGTGTTTGTCCTTGTGTTTGAACTGTTGGCTCAATGGTGTGTTTTTAATATCTGACAGAATTTTTCCATCATAAGGTATCTCTTGCTTCCAACTACATACAAGAGGTGGTCAATAAATTTTTGCCCTGACTTTGAACGATGCAAGCTAAAAAGTTGAAATTTGACACTCACAATGCTGTATTTTACATAACCATCCTGTGAATTGACACATGAATTGACACGTTTTTTTCCCCTTCTTTGTTTGATCTTCAAAGTCCTTAAGCATAATTTGATTTCAAATGGAACTCAACTTAAGCCATTCTTTTGCTGCAGATATAGCATCTGCATCCCTATGGGACCACTGTCCATTGAGAACTTTTTTCATATTTGGGAACAGGAAAAAGTCAAAGGGTGCTATATTTGTGTGAATAGGTTGGGAGTGGAAGAATTTCATAGCCACACTATTTTGCTGTCTAAGTTGCCTTCACCGCTCTGCGAGCTGGAGAATTGTAATGCAGTAAGATTACTTTTCACAGCTTCTGTCATCTTTTCATGGCCAAAGAAGCTTGCAGTTTCATCAATGATGCTGAATAATAGTCCCCAGCTACTGTTTGGCCATTTTTTAAGTAGTCTGTCATGGCACTCTCAATGTTTCAGAAACTTACTTTACTTTTATCCACCGCTTAAAAAAACATCTAAAAAAACAACACAGCATAACCCTCCACTTGAGAGTTGCACCTTTGCCTTCATGGTGATTGGATGGAAGGATGGAGACAGTCTGAATTGGACTACTTTGTCCAATATTTACAGCTTCATGGCATGGGCTTTCACGAAAGTACAGACATCTCCTCGAAAACTGTTGCTAATGATTTTACTTGCCACTAAGGACATAATTTGATTAAACAGCGATATGCAAAAGATTCCATTTTTGACATTGTTTCCATTGAAAATGGCACTATCTTTTGGCATGGAAAGTCTGCTTTCACTTTCCCTGGAAGTAATCTCAAGTTCACCCTGCTCATGAGATTTTTCCCAAACTCCAATCGCAGTGTTCCAGAAACAACATTCTCCAAGTTTCACGACAAGTCTGTCATGGTTCATAATCATAGTCAGTGCAAAGGCTTATTGAACACCACTCATACATGCATTTCTGTACTATGAGATTTTTTACCCTTTTGTCTGAGATGCCCGAACTTACTTTTATTGTTTTTGTTAGATTATGTTTGTGCGTGTGTGTGTGTGTTTGAGTGAGGGAGGGGGAGTTTGTTTGTGTTAATCCGTTTTTAAAATATACTCCTTTGATATTCTTGGAAGCTCAGTATATGATTATGAGATTATTGAGTTTCAAACTCTTTAGCACTGGCTTTGATTCCATCTAATACATGCATTTACTTTCGTATTTGCAAAAACAAATGATTTTTTACACTGTCTTTTTTATATGAGTGTGGACATATTGTTTTAAATGCAGGCAGGTATGTGTAACTGTTAGTGTGTGTGTATAGGGGTGTGTTTGTGTGGGTATGGGAGCATGTATACATGTTAAGAGTGGATTCAAGAGTGGAAGAAAAATTGACAGGGAGAGAAAGTGACAGAGAAGGGATGGAGGAGAGTGAGAGAGAGAGAGAGAGAAAGTGATTGTGGCAAAGAGAGAGGGGAAGAAAGAGGGATACGTGACTGAGTTAGAGTAGGAGAAAGAGAGAGTTAGGGTGTGTATTAATTCTAATCTACAGCAGTTTGTTGCTGTTATAGAAAGATTCGTTTAATTTGTGGTGCAGACCGATGTGTAACACACAGAGCCACACTGAGAATAAGTATTTTATGAATAATCATGGATTAAAACATTTTTTAAAGAATAATTTTATACAAAATATCTGGGTCTACCTGGCAGAGAAAATGTGTTACTGCAGACAATGGAGTGTTGTGATTGAGAATTATATTAATGTATATCTTGACATAAAAATAAAAAAACTGTGTTATACTTGTTTACACAAATTATAAACTCAAGAAAAAAAATTGTACTTTATCTCGAAATAGATTAGTACAATTTAGACTACCCTGGTCTTGACTCTGCAAATAGATTCACTTGATCTTCAGTTGAATGCATAGAAAATAGTGTGTAAATTTTGGGCTATTTCTAGATTTCTCAATTTTTAAGGGCCACTATTTCCATGGCTATCAAATGACCTGAAGGGCTGAAATGATCATTCTTTCATCTAAATCTACCACAGTAACAATTAAAACCTTCAAGGTCATTCCCCTACACCCCCGGTCTTAAATGGTGCTATTAGAGGGTGATTCAATATAATTTTATTATGCAAATCTCAGCATTTTGTGATTTGCTGTGAGTTTGATTTATGTGCATTTGTATAGAATAATCTTAGTTATTTGTAAAGAAACTGTCTGTTCAGCTTATGTGAGGCATATTACATGCTCATATTTAACTTCTTGTGCTTATGTGAGGCATATTACATGCTCATATTTAACTTCTTGTGCTTATGTGAGGGATATTATATACACATATTGAACTTCTTGTGCTTATGTGAGGGATATTATATATACATATATTTAACTTCTTGTGCTTATGTGAGGCATATTATATACACATATTGAACTTCTTGTGCTTATGTGAGGGATATTATATACACATATTGAACTTCTTGTGCTTATGTGAGGGATATTATATATACATATTTAACTTCTTGTGCTTATGTGAGGGATATTATATATACATATATTTAACTTCTTGTGCTTATGTGAGGGATATTATATACACATATTTAACTTCTTGTGTTCTTTTATTGTTTTTGATCATAATCAAGACACATTTCTCATTGTGAGGCTAAATGAAATTTTTGGTCTCATATTTATGAGTATGAAAACATTATTACAGCCACTCCACATGTTGGCTTAAGTTATCTAATGTCTTTTTGTTGTTTATGGTAGTCTTTCAGTTTTGTGTTCAGATATTTAAGATAGATAAAACAGATATTCTTCATTGGTTGTCCATTGAAAAAGTTGATGGTGTGCTTTAACCAGTTTCTGTGACAGAAAATATTCATGCTTAGCATCTATCAACACATGATTATATTTTCCTTCTTTCACTAATACATTCACTCCTTTCCTCATTATTGACACTTTAGCAACTCTAAGGAAAAACACAGGGCACATGCATGGAATTGGAATGAAGTATGACAGTGAACAGCTTCTTAGGGCGAAAATTACTTTCAGTGTTTTCCATCAGCGTTTAGGTTTTGTTTTCAATCCTCTAACCTGCACGACACTTAAAATGTAGTATCAGAGATGCGAGACTGGAACTGACTTGAGTCAAAAAAATCTTCTGCCTTGAAATTACTGCAGTAACTTTACCAATTGATGATATGTTGCGCCACAAAATTAGGGATAGCTAGAGAGCTTAGC